ACACCTCGGGGAAATAAGTTCCTGCTGGTTGGCGTAGAGTACTTCACCCGCTGGCCCATGGCATGGCCACTCGCCAACCAGTCGGCTGCGGCAGTGGCGGACGCCTTTGTCCAAGGTTATGTTTTGGACAAAGGCGCCCCCGAACGCTTGCTGACGGATCAAGGAAAAAAATTTTCGAGCATTTTGTTGCGCGAGGTGTGCGACCTGTTGGGTACAAAGAAAGTACGTACCTCCCCGTACCACCCGCAGACTGACGGTATGGTTGAACGTCTGAACAGGACGATTACGTCTATGCTGTGCCAACAGGTATGCGACGACCAGGTGGATTGGGACTTACAGGTACCGGGGGTACTTGCGGCCTATCGAATGGCCCCTCATGCGGCGACGGGGTTTTCTCCATTTTTTCTGATGTATGGGCGGGAGGCTGATCCGGCCATGGACGTCCAACTGGGGATTTCCCAGCCACGTGCAAAATCTAAATTGGCAGACCATATCAAGTTTAATATCGCCAGATTGGCTGAAGCGCGAGAGGCTGCGAGATTGAATTCGCGGTCTCGGCAGATCGTGAACGAGCGATTGCATGGACGGAAGGTGCATACGCACGATTGGGAACCGGGCGATAAGGCCTGGCTGCATTGTCCACACGCACCGTTGGCTACGTCCCCCAAACTGTTGAGACCATAGAGGGGACCGGTGGAAATTGTGCGGGTTGCACGACCCCAGAGTATACAGATTAAATGGGGAAAACGCCGTTGGTACGTGCACCCCTCCCGACTGAAACCCTACGCGGCGCCGCGTGACCCCGGGTTGTGCCGTGACGACCGAGCGTGTGATGTGACCGTCGACTCGGGGAGGGATGTGTCGCAGGCTGATCCTCACGTGTCTCCACCTGACCCACCCCCAGGTGTCTCGGACCTGACGGCTGTTGACCGTCGGGAACCGGAACCCCGCGGCTCGCGCGTAGCCCCGATGCCTGGCCCATGCCTTCCTGAACTGCCGGCGCCACCGGATGGCCAACTGCGTCTGGTGCCGTACGACGGACCGGCAAGGCGGACTCGGGCTAGGACGCAACACTTTTCATGAATAGAAAAAAAAAAAGAAAAAAAAAAATTTCCTTTTTTGTTTAAAGCCCGACCTCGCTGCCGGGGTCCCCCTCTGCCAGGGTAATGTCCCGTTCAAGGGACGCTCGGACACATTGGGACGCTGCACGAGTCGAAGAGAAAAGAAGAGAAAATGAAAAATATTTTTTTTATTTTTATTGTTACTCTTTCCGCATACACGTTATCGTTGCCACTCGCCGGATTGCGCATATTGTTCTTGTTGTGGGCGTGGCGGTTGCTGGGTTTTGCGGATTGCGGTGTTCATGTTGTGTTGTTAGGGTTTTGTTGTTATGTTACGGGGCACACATAGGGGTGAAGGGGTGTTGTATATTTTATTAGCAGCCGGGTCGGCTGCGAGCTATGTGGTAGGGGGTGATGTAGTGGTGGTATTGACGTGCGCCGACAGTGATGGATCACGGGGCGCGGGGTTGGGCACGCGATGTGGGCGTGGTATGGACGCGCGCGCCGGTGGTAAGGCGCGCTGACACAAGCTGGGAAAAGAGGATCGTAGCGAGTGCGCAGTGATTGGTCAGATAAGTGGGTGCTCTCTCTCAGCGACGTCCGCAGGAGGGGTATAAAGGGAGACGCGCGAGAGCACTCGTGGTCAGTGTTAACCAGTTGAAGACCGAAGACGGGGTGGAGGAGGTAGTGGCCCGAGACCCCTAGTCCCGCCGTCCTTGTGAGGACCGGGGCCCTGTGCGGCTCGGAGCCGAGACTGGGGGACCGCAGTCCGACGCCCGTGTGGGTCGGGACGGTGGTACCCAGAGCCGAGACGGGCACCCCGGCTGGGTGTGTCCCGGAAGGCTACGGGGCGTGAGAGCCCGTGTCAGTATAGCTGAGTGGGTGTTAGTCACCCGAGTAGCTAAGGAGGGTGTTGGTCACCCGTGTAGCTGAGTGGGTGTTGGTCACCCGTGTAGCTGAGTGGGTGTTGGTCACCCGTGTAGCTGAGTGGGTGTTGGTCACCCGTGTAGCTGAGTGGGTGTTAGTCACCCGTGTAGCTGAGTGGGTGTTAGTCACCCGTGTAGCTAAGTGGGTGTTAGTCACCCGAGTAGCTAAGTGGGGTGTTAGTCACCCGTGTAACGAAGTAGGGTGTTAGTCATCCGTGTAACTACAAGTTGGTGAAAATAAAGAGTGTGCTACCCGTGAAGTCGTCTCCTGCCGAGTTACTACTTTACATATATACAAAGAGTCTTGTCAATGTCAATCCGTTTTTTCATACGGTGAGAGAATTTTTACATCGGAGATAAACTTTTCGAAATTTTTTCATTGCAAAATTAGCAAAGAAAATATTAAAATGGTGATTTTGGCACAATCTCATTCTCAATCGAGAGTCGTGCAAGGGACGACAGGGCGGTGTTGTTGTTGCTGTCCTGTGGTTGATCGGAGACAGTTTTTCTTTATCAGTTTTAGCTTCGAAACAGAATGCTCCCCTTCACAATTAGTTCGCAAGATGGCAAGATACAGCCCCAGAGCGATGTGCTCGATGTTGGTGATCACAACGCCATCAACCACCGACGGCTGAACAGCAACAGCTTGCTTTGTCACAAAGCTCTGCCCCCCCCCCCGAAAACCATATTTCCATTTTGAAAATAAAACATGCATCACATCGCTTTAAACTCTTGTCATTGTAGTGCGTATTTAATGTGGCGCTGCACTCTGATGTTGTAGGAGAAAACATTTATTAAAAAGTCTAATTAAGTAGAACGTGTTGTCTATATTTAAAGTTGCGCATTTTGATGTGACGTCACATTTCTCAAACCCCCTTCCCCTCGTCACACATCGTCACAAATGTCTGACCCCCCCCCCTAGGTGCGTGACGTCATTTATGGACAGCCCCATAGGTGTGAAGAGTACAAGACAGGTAAACATATCACCCATACACAGACAAATACAGCACTCAACCATCGGAGGTGCGGGCACAAACACAGCAGGTAGAGAGCAGACGACAACACACATTCTGGCGTCATTACACCGTACAGGTGGTGGAATAAACTGGGTCCATTTAGTTTGTGTGTTCTCGCTCAACTCCCCCTTAGTTATTCTTCAACAATGGTAGTTCGATTGGTGTGCATTTTGTTGTCGCCAATTCATACCTGTCAACCCATTATCAGTGCCTACTTTATTACAAGGTGGTGGTGAGATGTTATCTTCCTTGCCTGGCATACCGGAGGTTCGGGGGTTTGATCCCGACCCTGACGCCTGCTGCTGTATATTTGGAGTTTGCGGTGTCTCTCTCTCCCCGTGGTCGCATGGCATTTTTTCTCCGGGTCCTCTGGCTTTTCCCTCCACATTTAGAAACATGCATGGAGATGATGTAGATTAATTTGCTGCTGTAAATGTCCAAATGATGGGCCACTTTGTTAAGCTATCATTTGTGGAGGTCACTTCTGAAAAACAAGTTAATACCTCAGCGGGCTTTGCCTGAGACCGATAGACTCGCACAGAGACCCACAGACTCACACAGAGACCCATAGACTCAGAGACCCAAAGACTCACACAGAGACCCACAGACGCACACAGAGACCCATAGACTCACACAGAGACCCAAAGACTCACACAGAGACCCAAAGACTCACACAGAGACTCACAAACTCACACAGAGACCCACAAACTCAGAGACCCACAAACTCACACAGAGACCCACAAACTCACACAGAGACCCACAGACTCACACAGAGACCCACAAACTCACACAGAGACCCACAAACTCACACAGAGACCCACAGACTCACACAGAGACCCACACAAAGAAGCAGCTCTGCGTGTGATGCGAAATATTTTGTTCAAAGATCAAAAATAACAATGGCGCCTCTTCTTCTTTGAAGGGGTTGCCGACCCCTGGTCTATGCTTATAAGTCGCTGCAAGAACATTGCCAGAATAACTGGATGGCAATTCGCCTCGTTAGCTGCAATAGCTGTCCCTCCACATAAAACGAAATCTATCCAAGTATTTTACACATTCCCACTTAGCCACACAACCTTCTGAGAGATGCTATTTCACTAGCATTGGTTTCAACACCAGCGAAACGTTGTTTGACATGTGGGGTCTCGTCAGCAGTTGGGCTTCTTTGAACCAATGTCGGTTTAACCATCTCGTACAGCCGTTTCAATTGGGGCAAAAAATAAATGTCTATTTGTGTTTCTCCCTTGTGATGGGACTTTGAAGGATGAACGTTGAGATTGATATGGGCACGGGGTGACCACTAAGGTCCGAGTTGGTCTCTAGCGAGGCAGGGCGCTCACGAGGGGTCTGCAAGGTGAAGAAGTCGCGTGGCATTAAGCTTCACGTGGTGGACACTTCCCTGGGCAACATGGCCGCCTGGGGGGGGGGGGGGGGCTCGCGTGAACGCTCACTGCGCATGCGCAATGCGCGTGAGCGCTCCGCTGCACTACGGACCTGGCGACCGCTTACGGCCAACCGCCAGTGACGACAATCTGAACCGGTCCTGGGCCTCCCCTAGGTTGACTCAGCCTCAAATGAGTACCTGGTGTAGCGGTGTGTAAACATCGCCGCTGGGGAGACAAAGGCGGCCGGGCGTGGTGCTGGCAACCCACCCCCTCGTGTGCCGTGCCGGCCTTTATAGGCGCTCGCTAATAGCACTTGCCCCTGTTCAGGGTACTCGGGGGGATCTTTATCTTTGTTTTGCCCCCGACCCCTCCTGCAATTTGCATATTCATGAGCGCGCGAGCGGTGAGGAGAGCGGTGCCAGCCAATGGGGGTGGGGGGTGGGCAAGCGAGGCGCTCGCGCGCCAGGGTCACGTGGGGCGGTCGGGCGGGGCGCCCTCGTTGACCCCGCCCCCTCCTCCTCGCCCGCCAGCCCCGCCCCATTAGAGCCTCAGCCCCGCCCCCCCGATAAGAACTCGACGCCCCACGGCGGCGGAGGAGGAGAGACAAAGGCGCGCGGGGAGACGAGCTGGAGACACGCGGAGAGACGAAGAGGAAAAGGCGAAGCAGGTGAGAGAAGAAAGCGCAGCTCGCGTGCCGGCTTCACATTATTTACGACTCCCATTGAGTTAGTGCTGCTTGTTGCTGGCCGGCCCCGCCATTGTCAAGCTGGTATCGTGATACAACAACAACGATAATGATGATGATGCGAAGAATCTCGCGCAATCGATCGTGTTGCGTGTTGCTCGCACGCTTGGCGATGTGTGGTCCTTGCGGGCCTGTGCTTAGCAACTGCAGAGTAGAGTGATGTAAGTGGGAGCCTGTGATGGGAGTGATGGGAGCGTGTGATGGGAGTGATGGGAGCGTGTGATGGGGTGATGGGAGCTGTGTGATGGGAGTGATGGGAGCGTGTGATGGGAGTGATGGGAGCGTGTGATGGGAGTGATGGGAGCGTGTGATGGGAGTGATGGGAGCGTGTGATGGGGTAATGGGAGTGATGGGAGCGATGGGAGCGTGTGATGGGTGATGGGAGCGGGTGATGGGAGTGATGGGAGCGTGTGATGGGGTGATGGGTGATGGGAACTGGGTGATGGGGTGATGGCAACGTGTGATGGGAGTGTGTGATGGGAGTGATGGGAGCGTGTGATGGGGTGATGGGAGCGTGTGATGGGTGATGGGAGCGTGTGATGGGGTGATGGGAGCGTGTGATGGGGTGATGGGAGCGTGTGATGGGGTGATGGGAGCGTGTGATGGGTGATGGGAGCGTGTGATGGGGTGATGGGAGCGTGTGATGGGGTGATGGGAGCGTGTGATGGGTGATGGGAGCGTGTGATGGGGTGATGGGAGCGTGTGATGGGAGTGATGGGAGCTGTGTGATGAGAGTGATGGTCGTGTGTGATGGGGTGATGGGAGCGTGTGATGGGGTGATGGGAGCGATGGCAGCGTGTGATGGGTGATGGGAGTGATGGGTGGGAACGTGTGATGGAAGCGATGGGAGCGTGTGATGGGAGCGATGGCAGCGTGTGATGGGTGATGGGAGTGATGGGAGCGAGTGATGGGTGTGATGGGAGTGATGGGTGTGATGGAAGCGTGTGATGGGAGCGTGTGATGGGGTTGATGGGAGCATGTGATGGGTGCGTGTTTAAACTGTAAACATTGCCAGTGAATGTGTGTGTTTTTAGGATGAGTGTGTGTGTGCGGGTTGTGTGTGTGTGGTGTATGTGTGGTGTGTGTGTGGTGTGTGCGGTGTGTGTGTGAGATAGGTGTGTGTGTGTGTGAGATGGGTGTGTGTGAGATGTGTGTGTGTGTGATGTGTGAGATGTGTGTGTGTGTGATGTGTGTGTGTGAGATGTGTGTGTGTGAGATGTGTTTGTGAGCTGGGTGTGTGTGTGTGATGTGTGAGATGGGTGTGTGTGTGTGCTGTATGAGATGGGTGTGTGTGTGTGATGGGTGTGTGTGTGACATGGGTGTGTGTGTGATGGGTGAGATGCGTGTGTGAGATGGGTGTGTGTGATGTGTGTGTGAGATGGGGGTGTGTGTGTGTGATGGGTGTGTGTGATGTGTGTGTGTGAGATGGGGGTGTGTGTGTGTGATGGGTGTGATGTGTGTGTGTGTGATGGGTGTGTGTGAGATGGATGTGTGTGTGTGTGGTGGGTGTGTGTGATGTGTGTGTGTGTGAGATGGGTGGTGTGTGAGATGGGTGTGTATGAGATGGATGTGTGTGTGTGAGATGGGTGGTGTGTGAGATGGGTGTGTGAGATGGGTGTGTGAGATGGGTGTGTGTGATGGGTGTGTGTGATGTGTCTGTGAGTGAGTGAGATGGGTGTGTGAGATGGGTGTGTGCGTGAGATGGGTGTGTGAGATGGGTGTGTAAGATGGGTGTGTGAGTGAGATGGGTGTGTGAGATGGGTGTGTGTGTGAGATGAGTGTGTGTGTGGTGGGTGTGTGTGATGGGTGTGTGTGTGTGACATGGGTGTGTGTGTGATCGGTGTGTGATGGGTGTGTGTGTGATGGGTGTGTGTGTGTGATGGGAGTGTGAGATGTGTGTGTGTGTGATGTGTGTGTGAGATGGGGGTGTGTGATGGGTGAGATGGGTGTGTGTGTGATGGGTGAGATGTGTGTGATGGGTGTGTGTGTGAGATGGGTGTGTGAGCAGGGGCGGTTTCTTCATTAGGGCGATTGGGCGACGCACCACCAATGTCATTCAACCACAGAGTCACGCTAGCCGTCACTGTGCCTCTGGATATAGTCCAATCAGCGTCATGTCACGTTCTGTGGAGTATCGCCTCTTTTTGGGCGATTTCCCTCCGGCTGAGAATCGCCCCGAGTGGCCCCATAGACTTACATTCAAAGATGTTTTTTTTCGAACGGGGGCGCTGCAATGCATTCTCTATGGCTTCCGGGAGGGCTCGCCCTAACGTGCTTACGTCATCATACGTGCTTACGTCATCATACGTAAGCACGTTTCATCCAACAATATAATTTGTTTCCACCTAGTGGAATCTTTAATAAAATAAACTTGAGTGGTTTGTTTTAATAGTGAGTATAGAAACAAACAAGATGTATTGTAAGAGTCACTTTATTTTTCATTAATATTAAAGAAGTGAAGTTGCCTTTACATGCTTAGGCTGTTAATTTATCCATTGCATGGGTGGACCTTATCCTTATCAATCATCCAGACATTTGCCCCCCCTGAGAGATTTTGCAGGAGCCGCCACTGTGTGTGAGATGGGTGTGTGAGATGTGTGTGTGTGATGGGTGTGTGTGTGATGGGTGAGATGGGTGTGTGTGTGAGATGGGTGTGTGAGATGGGTGTGTGAGATGGGTGTGTGTGATGGGTGTGTGTGTGATGGGTGAGATGGGTGTGTGTGTGATGGGTGTGTGACATGGGTGTGGGAGATGGGTGTGTGTGATGTGTGTGTGTGATGGGTGTGTGTGTGTTATGGGTGAGATGTGTGTGTGATGGGTGTGTGTGTGATGGGTGTGTGTGTGATGGGTGGGTGAGTGTGTAATGGGCGGGTGTGTAATGTCATTATGGAGAGCCGCTCATAACCAGCAACACCAGTGACGATTGCCTGAACCGGTCCTCCCCTAGGTCTCCCCAGCAGTGAATGAGTAGCTGGCGCGGTGCGTGGAGTATCCATCGTGGTGCTGCCCCCCCCCCCCCCTTTGTGTGCCGTGCCAGGCTTCATGGGCGCTGCTGCTCGCTATAGCAGCACTTGCCCCAACAGCCTGCCTAGCCTTTAGGGGGGAGCTTTGCCTTTGTGGTGAATGCAACCTCCCGGCGTTCGACGCGCACGTGCACACAGCGGGAGCTGGGGACGGGGGGGGGTGAGAGCCCGGGCCGACAGATGGAGAGAAGTGTGAGTCTATGGGTCTCTGTGTGAGTGTGTGTGTGTGTCTCTGTGTGAGTCTGTGTCAGTTTGTGTGTCTCTGTGTGAGTCTATGGGTCTCTGTGTGAGTGTGTGTGTGTGTCTCTGTGTGAGTCTGTGTCAGTTTGTGTGTCTCTGTGTGAGTCTATGGGTCTCTGTGTGAGTGTGTGTGTGTGTCTCTGTGTGAGTCTATGGGTCTCTGTGTGAGTGTGTGTGTGTCTCTGTGTGGGTGTGTGTGTGTCTCTGTGTGAGTCTATGGGTCTCTGTGTGAGTGTGTGTGTGTCTCTGTGTGGGGGTGTGTGTGTCTCTGTGTGAGTCTATGGGTCTCTGTGTGAGTGTGTGTGTGTGTCTCTGTGTGAGTCTGTGTCAGTTTGTGTGTCTCTGTGTGAGTCTATGGGTCTCTGTGTGAGTGTGTGTGTGTGTCTCTGTGTGAGTCTGTGTCAGTTTGTGTGTCTCTGTGTGAGTCTATGGGTCTCTGCGTGAGTGAATGTGTGTCTCTGCGTGAGTGAATGTGTGTCTCTGTGTGAGTGTGTGTCTCTGCGTGAGTTTGTGGATCTCTGTGTGAGTGTGTGTGTGTCTCTGTGTTAATTTGTGTGTCTCTGTGTGAGTGTGGATCTCTGTGTGAGTTTTTGTGTCTCTGTGTGAGTCTATGGGTCTCTGTGTGAGACTATGGGTCTCTGTGTGGGTGTGTGTGTGTCTCTGTGTGGGTGTGTGTGTGTGTCTGTGTGTCTCTGTGTGAGTCTATGGGTCTCTGTGTGAGTGTGTGTGTGTCTGTGTGAGTCTATGGGTCTCTGTTTGAGTGTGTGTGTGTGTCTCTGTGTGAGTCTGTGTGAGTTTGTGTGTCTATGTGTGAGTCTATGGGTCTCTGTGTGAGACTATGGTTTCTGTGTGAGTGTGTGTGTGTCTCTGTGTGGGGGTGTGTGTGAGTCTGTGTGAGTTTGTGTGTCTCTGTGTGAGTCTATGGGTCTCTGTGTGAGTGTATGTGGGTCTCTGTGTGAGTTTGTGTGTCTCTGTGTGAGTCTATGGGTCTCTGTGTGAGTGTGTGTGAGTCTGTGTGAGTCTGTGTGAGTTTGTGTGTCTCTGTGTGAGTCTATGGGTCTCTGTGTGAGTGTGTGTGTGTGTCTCTGTGTGAGTATGTGTGTCTCTGTGTGAGTGTGTGTCTGTGTGAGTTTGTGGATCTCTGTGTGAGTGTGTGTGTCTCTGTGTGAATGTGTGTGTCTCTGTGTGAATGTGGATCTCTGTGTGAGTTTGTGTGTCTCTGTGTGAGACTATGGGTCTCTGTGTGAGACTATGGGTCTCTGTGTGGGTGTGTGTGTGTGTCTCTGTGTGAGTTTGTGTGTGTCTCTGTGTGAGTTTGTGGATCTCTGCGTGAGTTTGTGTGTCTCTGTGTGAGTCTGTGGATCTCTGTGTGAGTTTGTGTGTCTGTGTAAGTCTGTGGATCTCTGTGTGAGTGTGTGTCTCTGTGTGAGTGTGTGGCTCTGTGTACAGTCTATGGATCTCTGTGTGAGTCAATGGGTCACTGTGTCTATGGGTCTTTGTGTCTATGGGTCTCTTTATGAGTGTCTATGGGTATCTGTGTGTGTGTGCGTCTATGGGTCTGTGTGTGTGAGAGAGTCTATGGGTATCTGTGTGTGTGTCTATATGTCTGTGTGTGAGTCTCTGGGTATCTGTTTATGTGAATACTTTATATTATTTGAATGTGGAGAGACAGATGAAGGAGACATTGCGAGTTGTTTGTGTTTCTGACTCCCGTGGTGCCGGTAAGAGAGATTAGGCAAAAAAGACAAAGATCCCCCGTATAGCCTAAACAGACTGTTGTGGCAAGTGCTGCAAGCGAGTAGCACCTATGAAGGCCGGCAGGGCACACGAAGGGGTGGGTGGCCAGAACCACGCCCGGACGCCTTTGTCTCCCCAGTGGTGATGTTTGCACACCACATCAGGAAGTCTTTTGAGGCTGAGTCGACCTAGGGGAGGCCCAGGACCAGTTCAGATGAATCGTCACCACTGTTGGTGGTTATGCTCGACAATCAAACTCTCTAGTCGCCAGGTTCACAGCGCAGGGTACGGCGGTGGCTGTGAGATGTTCACGACCTCGCCTGGTACACAGGGGGTCGTGAGTTCGATCCCGACCCTGACGCCTGCTGCTGCTGTATAGCTGGAGTTTCTCTCGGGGTCTCCCTGTGGTCGCGTGGACTTTTCTTCAGGTCCTCCGTTTTTTTTTCCCTCCACGTTTAGAATCAATATCACTACACGTTTAGAGTTTGTGGCCGCTATCAATTTCCACGCGATGATGATGAGCCAGAAGCTGATCGGGCATGGCAATGTGTGCCACATGAAGAGTTGTTTTTGTTGTCAATCCCCACCCGCACATCCGATTATCAGGGTTGGCTACGTGCGATGCGAGAGAAATTCAACATGCGTACAACATGAGCGGTATTTCTAACTTTATAATGAACCATGACAGTATCAACATTGCATTATAGTACATAATTCACATTGCATTATAGTATATTATTAACATTGAATCAAAACCGGCGACATGGGGTTCGGTTCCCACTCATGGCCAACACCAATGGCAGTTATCTGAACCGGTCATGGTGCCTCCCCTAGGTCGACTCAGCCTCAAATGAATGGTGTGGTAAAACATCGCCCCTCTGGAAGACAAAGGCGGTCGGGCGTGGTGCTGGCCACCAACTCCCTCGTGTGCTGTGCCGTCCTTCACAGGTGCTGCTACTCGCTAACAGCACTTGCCCCAACAGTCTGTTACAGGCTGCACACACACGTACACACATGTATGTGTGTGTATGTACACACATGTTTGTGTGTGTGTATGTACACACATGCGCGTGTGTACATACACACACATGCATGGGCTGCGAGCGTGTCAGTCTCCTGACTGAGCCGACTCCCTGCTGAGCTGACTCCCGGCTAAGCAGTGGGGCCCTTACATTGGCGGTGGTGGTAGTGGCGGTGGTGATAGTGGCGGTAGTGGCGGTGGTGGTAGTGGCGGTGGTGGTTGTGGCAGTAGTGGCGATGGTGGTAGTGGCGGTGATGGTAGTGGTGGTGGTGGTAGTGGCGGTGGTGGTAGTGGGGTGGCGGTGGTGGTAGTAGCGGTGGTGGTAGTGGCGGTGGTGGTCGTGGCGGTGGTGGCGGTAGTGGCGGTGGCAGTGGTGGTATTGGGGTGGTGGTAGTGGCGGTGGTGGTAGTGGCGGTGATGGCAGTGGCGGTGGTGGCAGTGGCGGTGGCGGTAGTGGCGGTGGTGGTAGTGGCGGTGGTGGTCGTGGCCGTAGTGGCGGTAGTGGCGGTAGCGGTGGTGGTATTGGGGTGATGGTAGTGGCGGTGGTGGTAGTGGCGGTGGTGGTAGTGGCGGTGGTGGTTTTGGCGGTAGTGGTAGTGGCGGTGGTGATAGGGGTGGTAGTGGCGGTGGTGGTCGTGGCGGTAGTGGCGGTGGCGGTGACGGTGGTGGTAGTGGGGTGGTGGTAGTGGCGGTGGTGGTTTTGGCGGTGGTGGTAGTGGGGTGGCGGTGGTGGTAGTAGCGGTGGTGGTAGTGGCGGTGGTGGTCGTGGCGGTGGTGGCGGTAGTGGCGGTGGCAGTGGTGGTATTGGGGTGGTGGTAGTGGCGGTGGTGGTAGTGGCGGTGATGGCAGTGGCGGTGATGGCAGTGGCGGTGGTGGCAGTGGCGGTGGTGGTAGTGGCGGTGGTGGTCGTGGCCGTAGTGGCGGTAGTGGCGGTAGCGGTGGTGGTATTGGGGTGGTGGTAGTGGCGGTGGTGGTTTTGGCGGTGATAGTGGTGGTGGTGGCAGTGGCGGTGGTGGCAGTGGCGGTGGTGGTAGTGGCGGTGGTGGTAGTGGCGGTGGTGGTAGTGGCGGTGGTGGTTTTGGCGGTAGTGGTAGTGGCGGTGGTGATAGGGGTGGTAGTGGCGGTGGTGGTCGTGGCGGTAGTGGCGGTGGCGGTGACGGTGGTGGTAGTGGCGGTGGTGGTAGTGGCGGTGGTGGTTTTGGCGGTGGTGGTATTGGCGGTGGTGGTATTGGGTTGGTGGTATTGGGGTGGTGGTATTGGGTTGGTGGTATTGGGGTGATGGTAGTGGCGGTGGTGGTATTGGCGGTGGTGGTATTGGCGGTGGTGGTTTTGGCGGCGGTGGTAGTGGCGGCGGTGGTAGTGGCGGCGGTGGTAGTGGCGGCGGTGGTAGTGGCGGCGGTGGTAGTGGCGGCGGTGGTAGTGGCGGCGGTGGTAGTGGCGGCGGTGGTAGTGGCGGCGGTGGTAGTGGCGGCGGTGGTAGTGGCGGCGGTGGTAGTGGCGGCGGTGGTAATGGCGGCGGTGGTAGTGGCGGCGGTGGTGGCTCAGTTAATGCCCCCTGGGGCCGGGCGCCCTCTGATTAGCTGATTAGATCCCCAGCGTTATCTCCTCGGGTTCAAAGAGCAGCCCACTTGGTTCATAGAAGCAAGGTCACCTCGTTGGTATCATTTATTTATTTATGGTGAGCTGCTTACCAAGGAGAGCCTCGCCGAGTCTCAAGATCCTCATCGTAAAGAACATTTGGTTGATCCCAATTGTTCTTTACTTCACCAGGTAAAGGCCCCAAATGAGCTCTGCAGTGGCTCTTTTGTTAAGGAGGCGACCTGCCCATCACAACTGATAGTTCAACGAAGTGCCTTGTCGTCACCCGGAGGACTCCTCGGAGAAACATCCACGCAACCACCATGGGGCCGTCCATAAATGACGTCACGCACCTGGGGGGGGGGGGGTCAGACATTTGTGACGGATGTGTGACGAGGGGGGGGGTTTGAGAAATGTGACGTCACATCAAAATGCGCAACTTTAAATCAATATAGACAACACGTTCTACTTAATTAAATAGACTTTTTAATACATATTTTCTCCTACAACATCAGAGTGCAGCGCCACATTAAATGACAATAGTTTAAAGCGATTTGAAGCATGTATTTATTTGGGGGGGGGGCAGAGCTTGTGACATTTATGGGGGGGGGTCTAACTTTTTGTGACGCCGTGTGACTGGGGGGGGGGGGGCAAAAATCGTCCAAAATCGCGTGACGTCATTTATGGACGGCGCCCATGGAGAGGGAAAGAGAGACACAAACTCCAAATAGACAGCAGCAGGCATCGTCAGGGTTGGGATCGAACCCACGACCTCCCGCATACCAGGTGAGGTAGTCAACATCTCCGAACCACCGCGGCACCCCATGCAGCATTGGAGATGTGGCCTTGGCCAATACCATTGAGACTTATTTTTCCCATGCGGCTGGTGATGCAGATGAAACTAAGCTATTTAAAATGTACCAGGAAATCCCACTGAGCTGTATAGCTCTTGTTCAGAAGCGACGTGGCTATCACAAATGATTGACCAATGAAGTATCTTATCACGTGGTAAATGAATAACAGTATCCAAATACGCTAAATGTGTTTCTGAATGTGTGTTGTGGGTCTCTGTGTGAGTCTTTGTGTGTATGTGCTAGTCAGATGGTGCAGAGTGGGGTGTGAGCTGTTGACAGCTGAGCCCTGTGCACCTGTGGTCAAGGTGCAGCTGTAAACAGCTGTTGACAGCTGAGCCGTGACCTTTAGGACTCACACCACGACCGAGAGAGAGTCCTTGACCCTCACATCTGGGCATGTTCACCAGCAGTGGTTCAAGGGAGACATTGTTTGATGCATTTCTTTCTCACCTGCTGATGATGTTGCTGTTGGCGATGTTGATGTAGTTGATATCGTGACTGTTGTTGTCGTTGTTGATGTTGCAGGGCGTGATGGCTGCGAGCGACGCTGCGACGGTGAGGAGGAAACCCAAGGCTGGGAACCCGGACGGCGTTGGGCCTGGTGACAGTGCGGACGCAGCCTGTGGAGCCGGGCAGTGGGGACGCGCCTGGTGAGACCGCACCGCACACACCACACCACCGCACACACCGCACCACACACACCGCACCACACACACCGAACCACACACACCGCACCGCACACACCGCACCTCACACTGCACCACACACACCGCACCTCACACACCGCACCACACACACCGCACCACACACACCGCACCACACACACCACACCACCCGACATACCGAACCTCACACACCGCACCACACGCACCGCACTACACACACCATACACACACACCGCACCGCACACACCGCACCACACACACCGCACCGTACATACCACACCGTACACACACACCGCACCACACACACCGCACCATACACACACACCGCAGCACACAGACACACCACACACACACACCGCATCGTACACACAGACCGCACCGTACACACACCCCATACACACACACACTGCACTACACCGCACCACAACACACTGCACCTTACCACACCACACTACACACACCACACACTGCACCGCATCGCTCCACACACACCACACACACTGCACCACACCGCCCCACACACCCCGCAGAGCACACACCGCACCGCACACACCGCACCGCACAAACCGCACAGCACACACCGCACCACACACACCGCATCACGCACACCACACCACCCGACACACCGCACCGCACGCACCGCACGCACCACACACACCACACCACCACCCGACACCGCACCACACACACCGCACCACACACCGCACCGCACACACCGCACCACACACACCGCACCTCACACACCGCACCACACACACCGCACCACACACACCACACCACCCGACACACCGAACCGCACACACCGCACCGCACACACCGCACCGCACACACCGCACCGCACACACCGCACCACACACATCGCACCACACACACTGCACCGCACTACACACACCATACACACACACCGCACACACCGCACCACACACACCGCACCGTACATACCACACCGTACACACACACCGCACCACACACACCGCACCACACACACCGCAGCACACAGACACACCACACACACACACCGCATCGTACACACAGACCGCACCGTACACACACCCCATACACACACTGCACCATAGCGTACACACACACCCCGCAACACACAGACACACCACACCCCATCGTACACACACACCATACACACACACACACTGCACCACACCGCACCACAACACACTGCACCTTACCACACCACACTACACACACCACACACACTGCACCACCCGCTCCACACACACCACATACACTGGACCACACCGCTCCACACACACCACACCACATGAACCACACACCCCACACACACCGCACACACCACACACACCGCACACCACACACACCATACACACCGCACCATCCTACACACACACCACACACACACACCACACACACCACACGACACACACCACACTACACTGCACCACACGACACACACCATACCACACCGCACTACACACACACCACACCACATCGCACTGCACACATCGCACTGCACACATCGCACTGCACACACCACACTACACACACCACACACACCACAACACACGCACCACATGCACCACACACACCACACACACCACACTACACACACGCACCACACACACACAACACACACCACGCACATCACGCACATCGCACCACACCACACACACTGCACCACCCCACCTCCCGCTTCCCACGTTCGCCCCTGCACCACACCGGTCTCCACATTCAGTGCCTCATCAGCAGGTCAGGACCCATCTCTAAGAGATACGGGGACTTGCTCACTGCCGTCGGGCTCTTCACCAGCATGGCGTCTCGCAAGCTGCTGACGAGATACTGAACATCGAAACCGGTCCAGAATTTAGGTCGGAGGTGGACTCAGTGTGGGTGACTCAGGGAGGTGGACTGTGTGTGGGTGACTGTGTGTGGGTGACTCAGGGAGGTGGACTGGCTGTCCCTGTCTGCGGTGGTGCTGCTGCTACTCTGCGCCCCACTGCTCGTCTTCGCGCTGGTGACGGCCTGCGACCAGTACCAGTGCTCGCTCGCTGAGCCGCTGCTCCACCTCTACTCGGGCCGCTCCACCCTGCGCGACATCTGGGCACGCTCGCCCTCCATCACGTCCACCGCTGGTGCTGTCTACCTCCTGTGGGTCGCCTTCCAGGTGAGAGCGAGCGAGCGAGCGGGGGGTGATCTCCTTCCAGGTGAGAGCGAGCGAGTGAGAGGGGGGTGTCCACACGCTGTGTGTGGAACATATGGAGATTAGTCCACATGCTGTGTGACCTTGTGTGACCTTCATCTTCTTGGTTCTTTCGGTAAAGTCACGTAGAAGGGAAGTAATAAAATAATAAAAATAAAACATAATAAAATTGTTCTCACGACGTTTCGGCCACAACGCAAGCAGCCGTCCTCGGGTGAAAACCAGGTCCTCAGGTGAAAACCAGGACCTGGTTTTCACCTGAGGACGGCTGCTTGCGTTGTGGCCGAAACGTCGTGAGAATAATTGTATTATGTTTTATTTTTATTATTTTATTATTTCCCTTCTACGTGACTTTACCGAAAGAACCAAGAAGATGAATCCCTGCAGTCACGAAAGCTTTAAATCGAAACTTGTGTGACCTTGTGTGACCTTGTGTGACCTTGTGTGCCCGCGTGCCTGCCACAGGCGTTCCTCTACCGCTGCCTGCCTGATGTCTGCCACAAGCTGGTTCCCGGCTACGCCGGTGGGGTGCAGGAGGGGGCACGAACTCCCGCAGGTAGCCGCACGACACCACGACGACGACACCACGACGACGACAAAAACAAACAACAATAAGAACAAACATGGCGACAAATAACACAACAACAAAGAATGCAACAAACAACAACAAAACATAACAACAACAAATACCGCGACAAATAACAACAAACAACAATCACCAGTGAATGCACAAACTAAATCCTCACATCGCACTGCACCAACTGCACACTCAGCCACGCTCAGCCACGCTCAGCCACGCTCAGCCACGCTCACCCACGCTCACCCACGCTCACCCACGCTCACCCACGCAGACACCCACGCACACACCCACGCTCACCCACCCACACTCACCCACCCACCCCGACGCACACTAACCCACACTAACCCACGCTCACCCACACTCACACACGCACACACCCACGGTCACCCACACCCACCAACGCTCACCCACGCACACTCACCCACGCTCACCCACGCAGACACCCACGCTAACCCATGCACACACCCACGCGCACCCACGCACACTCACCCACGCTCACCCACGCACACACCCAAGCTCACCCACGCTCACCCATGCTCACCCACACTCACCCACACTCACCCACGCACTCACCTACAAAATCAAAGATTCTCCATATAGCCTTTAACAGACTGTTGGGGCAAGTGCTGTTAGCGAGCACCTATAAAGACCAGCACTGCACACGAGGGGGTTGGTGGCCAGCACCACGCCCAGCCGCCTTTTTCTCCCCAGTGGTGATGTTTACACACCATACCAGGTACTCATTTGAGGCTGAATCGACCTAGGGGAGGCCCAGGACCGGTTCAGATAATCGTCACTGGTGTTGACCATGGGCGGGAATCAAACCCGGATCGCCAGGTTCGTAGCGCAGCACTAACAGCTACCACGACCGCTCCCCACACTCACTCACACTCACTCACACTCACTCACTCACCGTAAGAACACCCAGACTCCCCACATGCTCCCAAGTCAGGAATCGAACCCAGGCGCTTCTCGCCGCAAGGCCCGAGTCTCACCACTTTGCCACCATCCTGCCGCCCTGATCGACTCTCGTCACCATCACCTTGGTCACCACCACCATCACTGTGGTCACCACCACCACCACCACCACCTCCACCATCATCACCACCACCACCACTACCACCATCACCGTGGTCACCACCACCATCACCACCTCCACCATCACCACCTCCACCATAATCACAACCACCACCATCATCACCACCATCACCACCATCACCGTCGCCATTCCTGTGGGGCAGGTGCGGTGGTGCTGTACCAGGTGAACGGCCTGCAGGCCTGGCTGCTCACCCACCTGCTGTGGGCCGCCAACGCGACCTACTTCCACTGGTTCTCTCCCACCATCGTCTTCGACCACTGGGGCTCGCTGCTGTGGTGCGCCAACTTGCTGGGATACGGCGTCTCGGCCTTCGCCATGCTCAAGGCCTACGTCTTCCCTAGCAACGCCGCAGACTGGTGAGTCGCTGGCTGGGTGGGTCACTACCTCACCACTCCTTACTGTGAGTGAGTCGCTCCCACAGAGACCCATAGATTCGCACAGAGACGCAGAGACTCACACAGAGACCCATAGACTCACACAGAGATCCATAGACTCACACAGAGACCCATAGACTCGCACAGAGACTCGTAGACTCACACAGAGACTCGTAGACTCACACAGAGACCCGTAGACTCACACAGAGACCCATAGACTCACACAGAGACCCATAGACTCACACAGAGACCCCTAGACTCACACAGAGACTCGTAGACTCACACAGAGATCCATAAACTCACACAGAGACCCATAGACTCACACCGAGACCCATATACTCACACAGAGATCCATAGACTCACACAGAGACCCATAGACTCACACAGAGACCCATAGACTCACACAGAGATCTATAGACTCACACAGAGACTCGTAGACTCAAACAGAGATCCATAGACTCACACAGAGACTCGTAGACTCACACAGAGACCCACAGACTCACACAGAGACCCATAGACTCACACAGAGACCCATAGACTCACACAGAGACCCATAGACTCACACAGAGACTCGTAGACTCGCACAGATCCATAGACTCACACAGAGACCCACATACTCACACAGAGACCCACAGACTCACAGATCCTCGCTCGGTTGTTTGTGTTGTTGTTTTTGTCCATTGGTTGTGTAATTGTCCATGTTGTTGTTCATGTTGTTGTTGTTGTTTCCCGCTGGCAGCAAGTTCACGGGCAACGTGTTCTACGACTTCATGATGGGCATCGAGTTGAACCCTCGCATCGGCCGCTGGTTCGACCTCAAGCTCTTCTTCAACGGCCGCCCGGGCATCGTGGCCTGGACGCTCATCAACCTCTCGTTCGCTGCCAAGCAGCAGCAGCTGCACGGACACGTCACCAACTCCATGGTGCTCGTGAACGTGCTGCAGGTAGGGACACGCGGGGCGACACGCGGGGGGTGTACATTGCACTACTGTCACGTTTGTGTGTATTGTGTTGTTGTAAAGTTCTGACCTCGTGCCCCTACAAAGAGCTTTGTAGCTTATCGGATTCCTCCTGCAGTCTAAATAAATATTCTGATTCTGAAATAGACAGCAGCAGGCATCGTCAGGGTCGGGATCGAACCCACGACCTCTTGTATGCCAGGTGAGGTAGTTAACATCTCCTAGCCAGCGTATTCATTCCTCAGAAGGATGTACGTTGAACTTCTTTTGCACCGTATGTAGCCAGGTGCGCTAAACACAAAAAGCACTCCAATAAATTAGCTCTTAATGTACTAGAGTGGTGTAGTGTTTCGTGTCGTGTCTAGTAGTGTAGTATATAGGAGGGTAGTATATTGTAGTGTCGTGTGTAGTAGTGTATAGTGTAGTGTTTAGTGCAGTGTATAGTGTATTGTATAGTTGTGTAGTCTATAGTAGTGTATAGTGTAGTGTATAGTAGTTTGTATGTGTGTGCGTTGAACTTCTTTCGCACCACCACAAGTAGCCAACTGCGTTAATCGGAGGTACGGGGGGGGGGGGGAGGAGAGCAATAAACTAATCACTAAACACATCAACAACAGGCCCCATCTAAAGCGGCGAGTTGCGTTAACACGCACTGCCTGGGTTGCTTTTCTTCGCCCAGGCCATTTACGTGCTGGACTTCTTCTGGAACGAAGCGTGGTACCTGAAGACCATAGACATCTGCCACGACCACTTTGGCTGGTACCTGGGCTGGGGTGACTGCGTCTGGCTGCCCTACCTCTACACGCTGCAGGTGCCCAGCCAGTGCTCGCTACGCAGCACGCACGCTCGGAGTGTCTGCGCGCTCGGAGTGTCTGCGCGTGCATCCGTCTGTCCGTGCGTTCTGTCCATGTGTCTGACCATCTGTCCGTGAGTCCATCCGTCTGTCCGTGTGGCTGTCCGTGCGTCCCATCCACGTGACCTTTCGTCTGTGTGTGCATCCGTGCGTTCCGTCCGTGTTTCTATGCATCCGTCTGTCCGTGCATCCGTCCTTGTGTCCATCCATCTGTCCGTGTGTCCCTGTGTCTGTCCATCCGTCCATCCATCCGTGCGTCCATGTGTGCGTCTGTCAGGCTAACAGTGACGATCACGGTCGTTATTCACAGTGGGAAATGAGTAACCCACTCAGAGCTTGTGAAACGAATCTCGCTCGACTACACCTGGAAACTAAAGCCACAATGACAGTAAACGACTCGGGGCATGTAGACTTAAGCGATCAATCACCGTAGCGGTCGAAACTTTGTTCACGACGGGGCAACGTTGATGGCTCTGCCGCTTGGTGATGGAGGGCTGTGATCACCGCACTGCGATTGTCGCTCGAGAGAGGAACGGGGCGCGAATGTTGGCCGTGTTTGGCTGGTGGGTCTCGGAGGGATGCACATCGCAGCTCAGGAGTCGACGTAAGTCGATATTGAATTGTGCCAGTGAGACTTCATCGGCCTCAGGCAGTGAGGCGCCTCTAACCCCGACCACTTCACCGATCCCTACCGCTACCCCGATCCCTACTCCCTTCTGCCAACCCAACCCACTATCATATTTTAATCGTTGTTTTACTATTTTTTTTATTGTTACCAGGTAAGGCCCCACTGAGCTGTGTAGTTCTTTTTCAGAAGCAACCCTCGCTATCACACGTCATGATAGCTCAATGAAGCAGCTTATCATCGTCGTGTGGAAATTTATAGCAAGAAAGGAATACTCTAAACGAGTAATGTCGATTCTAAATGTGGAGGGGAAAAATTGGAGGGCCTGGAGAAGAAATATCCACACGACCACGGGTCGAGAGAGAGAGAGACACATAAACTCCAAATATACAGCAGGCATCAGGGGTTGGGATCAACCCCACGACATCCTGCATACTGGGCGAGGTCGTCAACATCTCACTGCCCCTACTGCTACCTCCTAACCCCCTCCCCACCCTGCGCGTGCTCCTGCAGGGCCTCTACCTGGTCTACAACCCGGTGCGCCTGTCCACTCCGGCTGCGGTGGGCGTGCTGCTGCTGGGCCTGTCGGGCTACTTTGTGTTCCGCGTGAGCAACCACCAGAAGGACCTCTTCCGGCGCACGGACGGCCGCTGCCTCATCTGGGGATCCCCCCCACGCTCCTTCGAGTGCTCCTACGCCTCCGCCGACGGGCGGCGCCACCGCAGCCGCCTGCTGGCGTCGGGATTCTGGGGGCTGGCGCGCCACTTCAACTACACGGGCGACCTGATGGGCGCGCTGGCGTACTGCCTGGCGTGCGGCGGAGGGCACCTGCTGCCCTACTTCTACGCCGTCTACCTCGGGGTGCTGCTCGTGCACCGCTGCGTGCGTGACGAGCACCGCTGCTCGGCCAAGTACGGCGCCGACTGGCGGCGCTACACGGATGCCGTGCCGTACCGCATGGTGCCCTACGTCTTCTAGAGTCGCGGTGCTGTGTGCCTCTTGTAGAGTCACGGTGCTGTGTGCCCTGCCTCTTGTAGAGTCACGGTGCTGTGTGCCTCTTGTAGAGTTACGGTGCTGTGTGCCTCTTGTAGAGTCACGGTGCTGTGTGCCCTGCCTCTTGTAGAGTCACGGTGCTGTGTGCCTCTTGTAGAGTTACGGTGCTGTGTGCCCTGCCTCTTGTAGAGTCGCGGTGCTGTGTGCCTCTTGTAGAGTTACGGTGCTGTGTGCCCTGCCTCTTGTAGAGTCACCGTGCTGTGTGCCTCTTGTAGAGTCACGGTGCTGTGTGCCCTGCCTCTTCTAGAGTCGTGGTGCTGTGTACCTCTTGTAGAGTCACGGTGCTGTGTGCCTCTTGTAGAGTCACGGTGCTGTGTGCCCTGCCTCTTCTAGAGTCGTGGTGCTGTGTACCTCTTGTAGAGTCACGGTGCTGTGTGCCTCTTGTAGAGTCACGGTGCTGTGTGCCCTACCTCTTGTAGAGTCACGGTGCTGTGTGCCCTACCTCTTGTAGAGTCACGGTGCTGTGTGCCCTGCCTCTTGTAGAGTCACGGTGCTGTGTGCCTCTTGTAGAGTCACGGTGCTGTGTGCCCTGCCTCTTGTAGAGTCACGGTGCTGTGTGCCCTGCCTCTTGTAGAGTTACGGTGCTGTGTGCCCTGCCTCTTGTAGAGTCACCGTGCTGTGTGCCTCTTGTAGAGTCACGGTGCTGTGTGCCCTGCTTCTTGTAGAGTCACGGTGCTGTGTGCCTCTTGTAGAGTCACGGTGCTGTGTGCCCTACCTCTTGTAGAGTCACGGTGCTGTGTGCCCTACCTCTTGTAGAGTCACGGTGCTGTGTGCCCTGCCTCTTGTAGAGTCACGGTGCTGTGTGCCTCTTGTAGAGTCACGGTGCTGTGTGCCCTGCCTCGTGTAGAGTCACGGTGCTGTGTGCCCTGCCTCTTGTAGAGTCACGGTGCTGTGTGCCCTGCCTCTTGTAGAGTCACGGTGCTGTGTGCCTCTTGTAGAGTCACGGTGCTGTGTGCCCTGCCTCTTGTAGAGTCACGGTGCTGTGTGCCTCTTGTAGAGTCACGGTGCTGTGTGCCCTGCTTCTTGTAGAGTCACGGTGCTGTGTGCCTCTTGTAGAGTCACGGTGCTGTGTGCCCTACCTCTTGTAGAGTCACGGTCAGAGGTCGCAAACGGGTTTTCATTCCTTACCCGTACCCGTACCCGGCCGCACCAGGGTCGCAAACGGCTACCCGTACCCAGCCGGTACCCAGCCGGGTACGGGTAACCGGGTATTGGGCAGGGTACGGGTATCGGGTACCCGATTGCGACCTCTGGTCACGGTGCTGTGTACCGTACCTCTTGTAGGGCTGTCACGGTGGTGTTGGTGGTGGTGGGGATGCTGCCGCCTTGTGGCGAGAAGTGCCAGGGGTTTGTTTCCGGACCCAGGTGCCGGCTTTTTGTCTGGAGTTTGTGCAGCCTCCCCCCCTTTGCTCCCCCCCTCTGTAGAGTGAGTGGGTGTGAGTGAGTGGGTGTGAGTGAGTGGGTGTGAGTGAGTGGGTGAGTGGGGTGTGAGTGGGTGTGAGTGAGTGAGTGGGTGTGACACGAGTTCGATTCCCGCTCACGGCCAACACCGGTGACGATTATCTGAACTGGTCATGGGCCTTCCCTAGGTCGACTCAGCCTCAAATGAATACCTGGTGCGGTGTGTAACAACATTGCCACTGACGAGACAAAGGCGGTCGGGCGTGGTGCTGGCCACCCACCCCCTTGTGTACCGTGCCGGCCTTCATAGGTGCTCGCTAACAGCAGTTGCCCCAACAGTCTGGTACAATCTATACGGGGAGATCTTTGTCTTTTGTGAGTGAAAGTGAGGGTGTGTGAGTGAGTGGGTGTGAGTGAGTGGGTGTGAGTGTATGTGTGAGTGAAAGTGAGTGGGTGTGAGCGGGAGTGGGTGTGAGTGCGTCTGGGTGTGTGTGTGATTGAGTGAGCCAGTTAAACACATTCAGGCTGGCCCTGCCTACGATCCATCCTGGGTTTAACCTGCAGGCTGGATTGTGTGAGGAGCTTGTAGATCTGGAGAGCTCCTCTGGCAGGCGAGGCTGCGGTTGCTGGGTCGTGTAGCCTGAATACCCAGACATCACATGCCCAAGCAGCTTGCCAATGACTGGTACCAGCAGTGTCAGGATCGGCCTCTGTGGAGGAGGAGGCTCATGAAGGACACTACTGGGCAATTGGAGGCAGTCGCCCTCCAACAACAACGGAGGGCAGAGGAGCGAGGCTCACAACGAGCGGAACACCGGGTGGCTAAAATACGGCATTGTTGGGGGTACAGCTGTGTGCATCTGCCAGTCATCTCAGCCAACCCATGGCACCTACTGGGTCTGTTCCTGTGATGTCCTGCCAGCGAGCCTTCGACACTTCACGTGGCCTCAAAGTGCACCTGGCCTGGCACATGCGCCTTTGGTGACGTCACCATCACATCGAGGCGAATGGTGGGTATTGGTGTTGGTAAGGGTGTGCGAGTGAATCTGAATGTGAGAGAGTTTGAGAGAGTGTGAGAGAGTGTGACAATGTGAGAATGAGTGTGTGTGAGTGTGTGAGTGAATGTGAGCGAGTGTGAGTGAATGTGTGGTGGCGGCCTTCAGAGGTGCTGCTCACTAGCAGCTTTATGGGGGTGGAGGGATCGTTGTCTTTGCGTGTGCGTGTGTGTATGCGCGTCTGCGTGTGTGTATGCGCGTCTGCGTGTGTGTATGCGCGTCTGCGTGCATGTCTGCGTGCGTTTGTGCGCGCACAGTGGCTACGTGCTCCCCTTGTTCTAGGTGGGTTGCCCAGAGCTGAGATATCGACCACACACAGAGGAAGCGCCATTGCTCATTGAGATATACCGTGCCGAGGAATAACCTCGGGCAAATCACTCAATCGTGGTCACAGCAGCAGCAGCATCGCCAGCTTACCTGTGACGCAGGACCCTCCTGCAAGAGGGTCTTGAGACTCGGTGAGACTTACCTGAATCAAAATAACGATAAAATAACAACCCAAAAGCGCATTGAATCTAAACTAAACTGTTGTGTTTATGTTACTAGCTGTAAGGCCCCACTGAGTTGCTATGTAGCGGCTCTTCTTCAGAAGCGACCTGGCCACCACATGATAGCTCAGCCGAAGTGGACTCATCATCATCGTTATCATCGCATGGAAAGTTTATAGCAGCAGACAAATTGCTCTGAACGCGTGACGTTGATTCTAAATGTGCAAGAGGAACAAACCTTCAGGACCACGGGGAGAGAGAGACACACACAGTCCAAATATACAGCAGCAGGCGTCAGGGTCGTGATAGAACCCACGACCTTCTGCATACCAGGGAATGTAGTTAACATCTCACCACCGTCATGATGATGATGATGAGAGACACGCAAACTACAAATACACAGCAGCAGCAGCAGGCATTGCCAGGGTCGTGATCGAACCCACGCCCTGCACACCAGCCGAGGGAGCCAACATCTCCTCGCCTCCACGGCGACCCCAATTGACGTCGGAGCGACGGACGGATACCAATCATACCCATGTGGGTGGGGTGAAATGTGGGTGCGACTCGCACCTCTTTGGCCTACTCTCCCACGTGGAAGAGTAGGCCAAATACCCGGATAGAGGGCTCTGAAGCTTCCCCCGTAGCGGAGGAGTCTTCTGCCAGCGGTGGCTCCTGCAGCTTGCGTGTGACGTGGGGGTGCGCGGGACAGACGTTTGTGTGTGGAGTCGATGTTTCACGTGGCAGTTCCAATCATAATAGTTATAATACAATTATTATTGTTATGATGGTGGTGGTGTTGATGAATTTCATAATCAAGTGTAACTGCTTTCGGATAAACGTTTTAGATTTTGGCGGTGTCGTGTGTTATTTTTTTATATCCGGATTTTCAATTAATGTCGGTGTCACAGTGTCAGTGTCACGGTGTCTGTCACGGTGTCAGTGTGTCGCGGTGTCAGTGTCACGGTGTCACCCACCCACTCACCCACCCAGACACCCACTCACCCACTCACCCACACACACCCACCCACCCACATACCCACCCACCCACTCACCCACCCATTCATTCACCCACTCACCCACCCACATACCCACCTACATACCCACCCACATACCCACTCACATACCCACCCACATACCCACTCACATACCCACCCACATACCCACCCATTCATCCACCCACCCGCTCACTCACCCACTCATTCACCTAATCACCCACTCACCCACTCATTCACCCAATCACCCACATACCCACCCACATACCCACCCGCTCACTCACCCACTCATTCACCTAATCACCCACTCACCCACTCATTCACCCAATCACCCACTCACCCACCCACTCATTCACCTAATCACCCACTCACCCACCCACTCACCCATCCACTCATTCACCTAATCACCCACTCGCCCACCTACTCACCCACCCATTCACCCAATCACTCGCCCGCTCATTCACTCACCCACTCATTCACCTAGTCACCCACCCACTCATCCACTCACCGACTCACTCGCCCACCCACCCACTCGCCTACCCACCCACTCACCGACGGGCAACACTGGGGGCCGACCCCGACCGGAGGTGCAGCAGAGCCGAGCTCTGGAGAGGAGCCGGCGTTTGGTCTACTCTTCCACGCTGGACAGATGTTTTGGGAATAAGAGGTGGGAAGTGACCCACACTTTACCCCACCACGGCACGTGACCTACCAATCGACTTCACCGTGGTGGGAGTGAACCCGATGACACCAAAACTGGCCCGCGACGTTTCAGCTGCCGCACCGGGAGATTGAGAGAGAGGGGGGCCCGGCACATACGTACATCGTGCTCATCGCATGCACTCTGTGTACCTTGATCTTCGTGGGGAGCAGTGATGTAGAGGTTAGCACGCTGCGCTACGAACCCGGCCACCCGAGTTCGATTCCCCCTCACGGCCACCAGTGGACGATTATCTGAACCGGTCCTGGGTGTCCCCTCGGTCGACTCAGCCTCAAATGCGTACCTGGTGCAGTGTTTAAACATCGCCACTGGGGAAACAAAGGCGGTAAGGCGTGGTGCTGGTCACCCAGCACTTGCCATAACAGTCTGTTAAGTCTATACGGGGGATCGTTGTCTTTGTTTAAACTTCTTTCGCACCGTACGTAGCCAACCGCGCTAACTGGAGGTGCAGGGGGAAGGACAACAAACTAAACACAACAACAACAAGCAGCAGCATCAGCTCTAAAGAAACGAGTTTGTCAATGTGTAACACAAGACTTCGCCACGCACTGCTTGGTCTCCGTCACTCTTTATTCGGGTTGACACCCGCACCCCGTTGGTCCCGACACCGGACCAGCTGCTCCTCGCGACGCGCCCTGCACGTGCTCTTCCGTCAGTCTTTCCCGCTCCCCCCGCTCCGCACACCGCTGGCTGACGGTGTGCTGAAGCCCCTGCAGCCACGTGGCTGATGGCGCGGATTCCCTCCGGCCACCCAACGTGGTCCCGTTTCTTCACTCCAACAACTGACCCGGAGCCCTTCTGGGCTCCCACCTATATCCCCTTCACCACGTGACCCTGTCTCCTCCCTCACACCACGCCCTTCCGAACCTTCCAGAACTGGCCTCCCCATCGCGCCCTGCTGGCTCTGCCCCTAGGTTTCGCCCCCACTCACCTCGCTTCCGATCGGACCCGAGGTGAGCGGGGACCTTCACATACGCCCCCATACTGGCTCCGCCCCCCAATACTCCGGGCCGTATGATTGGCCCAAAGGCCAGCAGCGAACCCCGCTTGCGCTCGCATTACATGACCCCCCCCCCCCCCCCCCCTGATGTAAAGGACCAGCCATCCCGGCTGAATCAGGATGAAATAATGCGAGCGACAGGCCACAACAGACATGACGGAAACAACACTAACGACGAATAGAATCAACGAAAGGGAAGGGATCTGGAACGAGTATGGGCCGCCGGCCCGTCCTTCACGAGAACCGGCGCCCTCGGAGACCGCAGTTCGGACGGGGTTTGAGGAGCGACGGAAACGGAATCATCCGCCGCTGGTGGAGGCCCGTCCTTTGCAGAATCCCGCGCATCTGACAGGCCCGAAATCGGGGCCCCTGGCAGCCGCAGCCTCGGCAGGGTCGAAGAGGCAGCGGAAACAGGTGCTCCCGTCGCAGTGGTAGGCCCACCCGGTGCAGAAATCCCCGTGTTTGGTAGGATCACCATCGGCCCGTCTACAAGAGGCACGACAGGCGCGCTTGCAGGTTGAACAAGCAAGGGCAGTGGCACGTCGGACGCGACAGACACTGGCAAGCAACGTCAGGAGATGACGCATCGACACGAGGGGCAACGTAGGGCTTCAAACGGGACGTGTGGACGTACCAACGGCGCGATCCAACAGGAACGCGTGCAGACTGGGGACTAGGAACCTCAATCAGCACCACTGGACCATGCCAGGGTTTGTGCAATTTAGGGCAGGTCCCCACCGGCACCTGTGGGCAGTGGAGCCAGGCCATGTCCCCCACCCGCCAAGGGGACACACGATGAGAGCGCCGGGCGCACCGTTCGTTCTGGGCCTGGATCTTGGCCGTAGCCAATCGGACCGCGTCTCGCGCTTCCGCCACGCGCTGAACGGACTCGCACCTCCACAGATGGCACCGTACATTAAAAAGAAAGGTGAATACCCCGTCGACGCATGCGGTGCCATCCGGTAAGCGGAGAGCACTCCCGGGAAATGCAAATCCCAATCGGCCTGCTTCTTGCTAACCGTATGGCAGAGAATGGCCGACAGGGTCCGGTTCAACCGTTCAACCATCCCATCAGTTTGTGGATGGTATGGAGAGGTCCGAACTTTCTTAGTTCCCAATGCGTCGCACACATCCCACAGTAGGTTCGAAGAAAAATTTCGCCCCTGGTCCGTGAGCAGTCGTTCCGGCGCCCCCTTGTCCATCACGTACCCGAACAGGAATGCTTCCGTGATAGACTACGCAGACTGGTCGGGCAAAGGACAAGCCATTGGCCATCGCGAAAAATATTAAACTCTGACCAACAAAAATTTGTTTCCCCGAGCGGATGGGGGAAAGGGCCCCAGAATGTCCAACGCCACCAATTCGTTCACCCGCGTCACTTTAATCGACTGAACTGGGGGAACACATGGTTGTTTGGGTGGCTTCTGCCGGGCACAGTCGGGGCACGACCGAATGTGCCCGACGACGTCAGTCATCATGCCGTGCAAAAAATAATCACGTTGTAACGTCAACAAGGTTTTCTGCACCCCGAGATGTAACAACTTCTTAGCGTGCAGAATCCGAATCAACTCGTATCGCAACGACAACGGAACGATCAGGCGCCAGCGACCCCGCAAGTCCTCTCTCCACATCAACAACCCGTCCCGGAGAGCCGCTCCCGGCATCCCATCAGATGACGGACACCCCTTCGACTTTGCAGCCTGACTCCGCAAGGCCGCAAGAGAGTCATCGAGCAATTGTTCCCGAACCCACACGGAACGTGGCAAATTCAAAACCCCATCAGCCGGCTCCGGACACGTGGAGTTTGCGGGCTTCTCCACAACGGATATGACCGGCCGCGGGGGCTGTGGAACCCGCATGCACCTATTCGTGCCCGAGGCACACGCGCAGGCGGATCCATGCGACAGTCTGGAGAGCGCGTCCGCATTAGCGTGACGCGAACCCCTACGGTAATGAATGTCAAACGAGAACTCCTGCAAAGTTTTCAGCCATCGTGCCAGCTGGCGAGATGGCTGGTCAACTTTCAAGGAGTATTGCAAAGCCGCATGGTCCGTGCGAACAATGAATTTCCGGCCATACAGATACAGACGGTATTGGCGGACAAAATGCACGATAGCCAACAAATTCCCGCCGGGTGAAGCAATAGCGTGTCTCAGCCGGAGAGAGAACGCGACTCCCATAAGCCACAACACGTTCGATGCCCCCCTTACACTGCGATAGGACGGCGCCAATACCCGTGTCACTAGCGTCGGTATCCAAAATGAAGGGCAAAGCGAAATCAGGGTTATCCAGCGTCGGTGCTGAAGACAATCGATCGCGCAGGCCGCGAAACGCCTTCTCCTCCTCCAGCCCCCATTTGAACCACTGATTCTTCACCGTAAGGAGGTGCAGCAGCCTAGCAATTGTAGCTAAATTTGGTACAAATCTGCGGTAATAGGAAGTGAAACCCGACAAATCGACGTACGTCACCCACCATGGCCGGAGTCGGCCAGTCCCGAACTCACGCCGTCTTGTCCGGGTCCGTGGCCACACCATCAGGGCTGACAATGTGACCCAAATAACGCATAGAGTGTTGCAAAAGGTGACACTTCTTGGGCTTAAATTTCAAATTAGCGGAACGCACCCTAGCGAAAACAGCATCCAATCTCTGAAGATGCTCCTCAAACGTGCGACTGAAAACAATGACGTCGTCCAAATATATCAGGCACGTGTCCCACTGCAGGCCGGTCAACACGAGTTCCATTAACCTCTGGAACGTAGCAGGGGCGGCGTTCAATCCCATCGGGAGACAATTAAATTGAAAAAGCCCCTGTGGTGTACGGAAAGCTGTCTTTTCCCTCGACGACTCGTCCAGGGGAAGCTGCCAGAACCCCGAGGAGAGGTCGAGGGTCGAAAAAAATGTCGCCCCAGACAAGGCATCGAGGGAATCGTCCATACGCGGCAAGGGGTACGCGTCTGCAACCGAGACTTTATTTAGCTTCCGAAAATCCACACAAAATCGCAGGCTACCATCCTTCTTTTTCACCAGAACAACCGGAGCACCCCATGGGCTGTTGGACGGAGAGATAATGTCAGCGGCCAGCATATCATCCACTGCGCCGCGGTCGTGATCCCTCTCCGAGAGGCTCAACCGATGCG